CCCAGCTTACATCCCACTATATTGAACAAATTCGCGTCGGGTCCAAATTTTGGGGTTTTCGAGTCGTTGAATACAACATATTGATTGTATAAATCCGCCGGGTCGGCCAAATTTTGGAAGCCAAATTTTAGAGTCGTTTAATACAAGAAGAAAAACATTAATTCAACACGCACGAAAGTCCAGAGTGCGACAAAAAATGAACACAACTACATCACGGATGTTTATGACTCTACAACGTATATTTATAGACAGTTGTTTATTAGTTAAAAAGTCAAACTGTCAAACCTTTAACTTGTCCTTTGTAAAATTCGCTGGGTCCAAATTTTGGAGTTTTCGAGTCGTTACACGAAGAAAAACATATTAATTCAACACGCAAGAAAGTTCAGAGTGCGACACAACGTAAACTCCATAGGAAACCGGCACAACTCTTTGAAAATTCAACGAAACTGTGTGAAATATATTCTGATCACTCAGCCAAAAGGCGCCATTTTGAAACTGGACTGAATATGTCACGATTGGAGTTCGGAATTGTGCGCGCGCGTATAAGTCCATATAAGTCTATATATGGGATAATAAACGAAAAATGCACCACAAGCATGGTATGAGCCGGCTATTACGTACATAAATACAAGCTTCTTACTATTATATATGAATCGTGGATTCGAAGAATCGATGGCATTTTGGATTAATCGTTGCACCCTGAGCCTGCGATGCGCGAACGCAAACTCGATTTCTCGACGACGAAAAAAACAGAAGAAAACAGAAAACTAGGGATTTAAGACACTTGACCTTTCAGGTCAGTGTAACAAGTATCGTATTAAATTGCAACGGAACTATAAAATTGGCCTGGTACTGATCGTGCCTGTGTAATAGCGCGTTTGTTTTGTTGAAAACAGTGGCGTAACTACTATGGGCTCAGACCGGGAGAACCCGGGGGCCCCAACCCAAATGGGGGCCCCCAGGCTTGGGCGATAGAGCATAAACATTGGCCAGGGCCTCCGATATGTTACAATGTCGTTTTATGACCATCAGAATTCTGTAAAATCTCTCCCCAAAGTCCAGGAAATGGCATTTCAGAGAGCCTAGATTCAAAAATTTTCCGGATGAGCATGCCCTGGACCCTCTAGAAAATTCGTGCATATACGGCGCTCGACTCGTGCCTTTGGTACTTCTACTAGGGGGGCCTTCGAAAATTTTGAACCGGGGGCCCCCTGATATAACGTTACGCCACTGGTTGAAAATCATGATTTTCCAAGCTTACCGTTTGCGCTAATAGTCGTTGCATGATATATTTATGTTCTGTTATGTAAATGTATGTTCTAAAACGCATTCCCTATATTATTTGCATTGGAATCGTAAACTTTGTGTCACTATACTGCCATTTGATATGTGCTTGAGATCTGCGAGTAATTCGTTGCCCACTCTAACTCTAAGAAATATATGCGCACTTCACAAGAACACTTTCCCGTTAAAACACAATACTTTCATCGTGAAATGACTAAAATACTACCGGTTTTCATCTAGTGATCTGAACTTTGTGTTTGGAAAATATAGGCGAGGGGTCGTTGCAGGTGACCGAATAGCGCACCAAAATTGTAAGATAGTGTAAATTGTCTTAGTGTCATATGATCGGTATGTGGCAATAAAATATTGCCGCAGAGACAACTTAAAAGCATAACACAACATAGTTTATCCTTGGTGGATCCATCAGCGTAGTATAAAAACCGTGGCAAAGTTTCATAAACCTGTGAAAATGCTCACTAAAAATGATCGTAAAATATAGAGAAGCTGCAGTTACTATGAGTTTAGTACGCGTATGACAACAATTGCAAGTGTATCAAAAATCATGTAACCCGGCCTAGTTTGAACATAACATACTGTAAATTGTAATATATATTCCTGAAATACGACGATAATAACTTCGAAAGATTTACCATATCACCATGATGATTTTCAGTTCAAAGTTTTAATGGCAAGAGTCGTGTGTTTACTTATTTAGTGGTGATATTCAGTAACTCGCGTGACGTCAGAAATTGTGCTAGACCCAGTTTCCCGTACACGACGTCCATTGACCAAGCAATCCATAATTCAAGTGGCTCTAAAATGTTTGCTTTTCAACCAAACGCAAAAATTTTTTCGCAATACTGTTCCACTGGTAGCATACTTTTAACAAGCTGAAATCAATTTTGGGGTTACGGGCACTTTAAGTTATAGAGAGAATTGTTTGCTTTTTGGGTTAGTTCAAAATTTCATATTGAATACTGATCGCTTCTCTCTGACTATTGTTTAATAAGCCTGTTTGTATGTGTGTGTACGTGATTGATAATAATTTAATGTTAACCCCCTAGATAAGCAACATCTGCTTGTGGGGTAAACATTAGTTAAAATAAGTATTGAATAAAAAAACCCCCAAAAACAAAGCCTCTGACTGGTCCCTGAACAAAAATAAGCCAATCAGAGGCTTTGTTTACAAACCGGCTTGTAAATTTCAGTATGAACTTTTGAACTTCACAACGAAGTTCGCAACATTCAGGGAAAAGTTATATGTAATCAACTGTAAGGGTGAAACCTGATAGGGACTGGCAATGAGCAACATAATAAGTATTGGTAAATATTGATTCATAAATTGATTAGTTTGCTCTATTTAATTGGCTTTCATATAATATAATTGCCATTCATATAATATAATTGCCATTTCTTGTGACCATCTAATCTCTACTAATATCCTGGAAGTTGTGAACCAATAAGCTTGCAGAATAGTTAATAAAATAAATGGTGTCTACAGGTATTATAAATATGTATAGCAAAATACTATAACTTAAATAATTCTACACATATAAAAATCTCACAGCTTGTCAACAAAATGTATCCGTACTGCTTGTTCCCAACTAGGGCGGATTTTCATATTTTTTTAAAGGAGAGATGGAAAAATTTCTAGTGGGGTGCAAGCGGCATCACTGAGCGAGCTTCAGCAGGGGTTAGGGTGAAACGAAAATTTTGGTGAGTTGAACACTTTATAAGAGGGGTACGTTAGCAAAATTGTAGGGGGAAGTTTAACCCCCCCCCCTCCCCTCCAGTAAATCCGCCCATGCCTGTTCCCTGTTGTTGAAAAGTGTGGAACAAGTTGTTATCATCTAGTAACAACGCTGATGAGGCAACAGACTTGCAACAAGTTCGCATCAACTTGCTATAAACAGTTATTTGATCTTGTTGGAGCAACTAGTAGCGAGTCTGTTATGTCATCAACCTTGTAATAAGGTGATAATAGCTGATTTGTCACAACAAATGGGAACAAGTAGTGCAAATATCGGCTTGAAAAATAAATTATTCAACATGCATAAAAATCTCACAGCTTGTAAGAAGATTTGTTCACACTGCTTGTTCCCAATTGTTGAAAAATGTGGGAAAATTTGTAATTGTCTAGCAACAAGATTGATGAGGCCAACAGATTTGCGACAAATTGTTCCAACAAGTCTGATATCACCTGCACTGCACATAACAAGACTTGTAAACAAGTTGACAACAAGCTTGAGCAACTTGTTAGAAACAGGCATTTAGTCTTGTTGGAACAACTTGTAAGGTAATAACAACTATTTCAAGATCTGTCGCAACAACTAGGAACAAGCAGTGGGAACACATCCCAATATCGGCTTGACAAGAACCTTGTAATGTTATAACTTGTTATAACATGTTAATTTATGTGTGTAGTTGTATTAATAAATATATATATATGTATATATACCTTATTCTCTATTGTTTGCAATACACATTTCTAACATTCTATACATTTATTTTCTTCAAGTCTTGATTTTGGATTTCAATTGCTGAAACATGCAATGGCCAAGCACCACCTAAAATTCCAGCTTGAATGGCGACTCCAGTTGCAACAGCTAGTTCAGGGTCTATGGACACATTTGGTTCTTTACCATTAAAATAATCCTTTATAATTTGCCTAATCCTGGGTATCCTTGTTGAACCACCGACCAAAACAATCTCATCAACATCGCTTTGTTCCAACTCAGTTACCTCAAGGACTTTCTTTACAGGGTCTAAAACTTTCTCAAAAAGATCCTTGTTAAGTTTTTCAAATGTTAAACGTGTTATGTTCAATTCAAAAGCTGCCAATGATTTACCACTATTTAAAGATGGCAGCGGAAAGTGGACTGCAACGTGAGAGTCTATTGTCAGATTTAATTTCACAGATTCCACTAACTGGTGTAGCCTCTGGATATCTTCCAAGCTAAGGAGATGTTTGCCATATTGCTCCTCAATTGTTCTTAAAAAGTATTGTAAAAGTCTATTGTTAAAATCCTGTCCTCCCAATCGATTATTACCAGCCATTGCCATGGTAACAAACATACCTCCTTGAATGTTTAATAGTGATACGTCAAGCGTGCCACCCCCCAGGTCCACAACCATCACATTTGTGATGTGGCTGTGTTCGTGTAAGCCATACGCTAATGCGGCCGCAGTCGGTTCATTTATTATTCTCAGTACATCAATGCCAGCTAACTGAGCAGCTTTTTTTGTCGCCTCTCTTTGATCTTTGTCAAATTCAGCTGGCACCGACATAACAGCTTTTGTAATACTCCTAGATATATTCCTCTCAGCATCAAGCACAAGTTCTTTGATAATATAAGATCCAATTTCCTCAGGTGTAACTCGTTTTTCAACTCCCTTGTCTTCTACTTTATAAAACACTCTCCCTGTTTCATTCTTACCAAGCTTAAATTGATATAAATTTGCTACTTCGTTCAATTCCTCGTCAGTGAAGTTTCTACCTATGAATCGTTTCCCATCGTAGATAGTCAATTTGGGGTAAGCTTCTGCCATCGCAAGGGCATCCTGTCCAACTTTAACGCCTTTTTTGGTAAAGCTAACAATACTGGGCATAGTTTTCTTGCCGTGTTTATTTTCAAATATATAAACATTACCAGTGATAGCTTCGTAAGCTCCAATACACGAATATGTTGTCCCTAAATCTATACCTACGATTTTTGGTTTTGGCGGTGGTAGCCGACTTTGAGCGATATATCCGGCGACAATAAGGCCAAGGATGGATGCAGCTAGTAAACCAAAACCAGAACTCATAATTTGTCAAAAGATCATACAAATATCAGCAGTAAATTATTTGTTGTTTCTCTGTTTGATTTTATAAACTTTGTAAATTGCTGTTTGAAGCGGAAGTACACGTCCATGCGCAATACAAATGCGCGCGAAAACGGAAATGAAATGGAAATGGAAATGCAACTTCGTCCCCAGGGCCTTTCTTTAAAAGGCCCTGGGGACGAGGTTGATGGAAATGTAGTTGAATATTTTAAAATGTGCCCACTGAGCTATATGAATATGGGTCGTACGCTCCTACCTCGTACATTTAAATTAATATCCAACGTTTTTGGCATAATGCTGATTCCCAGAGGTGACCTTTTCTTTACAACCATATTTCCCACAATAGGTTAATGTTGAAAGGCTGATTCCTATAGGTCACTTTTTAGTAAC